TCCCCATTCCTGGCACTATAAGGTGGGTAGAAAGTTGGCTAGATTGTCGGGCTCAACGTGTAGTGATCAATGGCTCCATGTCTAGTTGGCAGCCGGTGTCAAGTGGAGTGCCCCAGGGGTCGGTCCTGGGGCCGGTTTTGTTCAATATCTTCATAAATGATCTGGAGGATGGTGTGGATTGCACTCTCAGCAAATTTGCGGATGATACTAAACTGGGAGGAGTGGTAGATACGCTGGAGGGGAGGGATAGGATACAGAAAGACCTAGACAAATTGGAGGATTGGGCCAAAAGAAATCTGATGAGGTTCAATAAGGATAAGTGCAGGGTTCTGCACTTAGGACGGAAGAACCCAATGCACAGCTACAGACTAGGGACCGAATGATTGGCAGCAGTTCTGCGGAAAAGGACCTAGGGGTGACAGTGGACGAGAAGCTGGATATGAGTCAACAGTGTGCCCTTGTTGCCAAGAAGGCCAATGGCATTTTGGGATGTATATGTAGGGGCATAGCGAGCAGATTGAGGGACATGATCGTTCCCCTCTATTCGACATTGGTGAGGCCTCATCTGGAGTACTGTGTCCAGTTTTGGGCCCCACACTACAAGAAGGATGTGGATAAATTGGAGAGAGTCCAGCGAAGGGCAACAAAAATGATTAGGGGTCTGGAACACATGACTTATGAGGAGAGGCTGAGGGAACTGAGATTGTTTAGTCTGCAGAAGAGAAGAATGAGGGGGGATTTGATAGCTGCTTTCAACTACCTGAGAGGTGGTTCCAGAGAGGATGGTTCTAGACTATTCTCAGTGGTAGAAGAGGACAGGACAAGGAGTAATGGTCTCAAGTTGCAGTGGGGGAGGTTTAGGTTGGATATTAGGAAAAGCTTTTTCACTAGGAGGGTGGTGGAACACTGGAATGCGTTACCTAGGGAGGTGGTAGAATCTCCTTCCTTAGAAGTTTTTAAGGTCAGGCTTGACAAAGCCCTGCTGGGATGATTTAATTGGGGATTGGTCCTGCTTTGAGCAGGGGGTTGGACTAGATGACCTCCTGAGGTCCCTTCCAACCCTGATATTCTATGATTCTATCATTCCCCTAGGAGCCGCAGGGACATGGTGCCGGCCGCTTCCCGGAGTGGCGCAGGGCCCAAAGTGCCACAGGGCTGGCAATCCCGCAGGCTGGATTGACAGCCCTGAGGGGCCGGTTCTGGCCCGTGGGCCGTAGTTTGCCCACCCCTAACCTAGCTTGTTGCAGCAGGTCAGTGAGAATACCATTATTCATGGAGGAAACTAAGCGTATGTCTACGCTACCCGCAGGGTCGGTGGGCAGCGATCGATTCAGCGGGGGTCGATTTATTGTGTCTAGTCTAGACGCGATAAATCGACCCCCGAGCGCTCTCCCCTCGACTCCTGTACTCCAGCTCCGCGAGAGGCGCAGGCAGAGTCGACGGGGGAGCGGCAGCAGTCGGCTCACTGCGGTGAAGACACCACGGTAAGTCGATCTAAGTTCGTCGACTTCAGCTATGTCATTCACATCGCTGAAGTTGCATAACTTAGATCGATCCCTCCCTAGTGTAGACCAGACCTGAGGCGCAGAGAGCTGAGGCAACTGACCCTTGAAGTCACACAGGGTCAGTGCAAGACCTGCTCTTGACCTGCCATTTCCTGCTGTGAGCACTAAACCCTGCTGGCCTGCAAGATACAGAGCTAGAACCCTGCTCCTTTCCCTCTACCCCTGGCCTTTGTGCTCTGTGTGCAGTACCTGTGAGAAATGCATGGGATTGAGGCCCTGTGTCGCACCCTGCACTGTCCTCGATACCATCCCCTGTGGCTGTGGTGCCCTTTCAGGTGGGGTCACATCCCTCAGGGAAAGCTGCTGCCCGGGGCGAACCCGACATCACAGCCTGACCCTACGTTGCACTCTCTCCCTCCCCCCAACCTCCCTGCTTGTCCTGCCTATGCTGTCCTTGTGCCAGGCCCTGCTGACATGCCCTTTCCCCCCAGGATGGGTTCAAGGACACGGAGAACCGGCTGATCCTGTATGTCCTGACACGGCCCGTGGTGCTGCTGCTCCTGGCCGTGGTGAGCAGCGGCCTCCGCTTCCTGCTCAACTCCTTTGTAGCGGCGCTGCTGGGGCCCGTGCTCCTCACCATCCTGGCCCTCAAGCTGCTGCTGCGGCGCTCGCCGGACCTTGGTGGCCTGGGCGCGTACTACCGCTCGGGGCAGCGTGGGCTCTGGGTGGCGGTGTACGGCGGCGACGACGTGTGCGGCTGCGTGGCGCTGCAGCCCCACCCGCAGGGGGCGACCCGCACAGCCGAGCTGAGGCGCTTGGCCGTCAGCCGCTGGTACCGTCGCTCCGGCGTGGGGCGCCGCCTGCTGGCCTTCCTGGAGGCCCAGGCCCGGGCGCAGGGCTACGAACGCATGGTGCTCTACGCTGCCGTGGTCACCAAGGCTGCCATCGGCCTCTTTGAGAGCAGCGGCTACCGCCCCACCGGCGGGCGCCGCTGGCTGGGCTACACCATCCTGCAGGAGTTCAGCAAGGAGCTCTAGCAGCCCCTCCCTGCCCCCTGCCCTGCTGGGTCGGGGGAGCGGCTTGCAGAGAGCAATTCTGGCCAAGGGCTGGCGGGCCGTATCTGTCCTCATGCCCAGGAGTCCCTCTGCTCCATGGATGCCACCGAGGGACACAGGGCAGCGATGGCCGGGATGTGGGATTTAGGGTGTGACAACCCCGGACTTCACTCCCAGGACAGCAGTGCCACCTTGTCCTGGACTGGAAACCACCTGTTCTGGATGAGTCCCTTGCTGGAGCTTCAGCAGGAGAAGACCAGCCGGACCTGATTGTGACTGGGAGGGAGGAGGGTTAGCTCAGTGGTTTGCGCATTGGCCTGCTAAACCCAGGGTTTTGAGTTCAATCCTTGAGGGGGCCTTTTAGGGATCGGGGGGAAAATTGGGGATTGGCCCTGCTTTGAGCAGGGGGTTGGGCTAGATGACCTCCTGAGGTCCCTTCCAACCCTGATATTCTACGATAGGAGATCACAGCCCCGATTGTGACTGTGGTGGGTGGGGATCACAGGCTCTATGGTGACTGCTCTGGGGAAAGAAATATAGGGTGGGCGACCCTGACATGGAGCGGAGCAAAAGGGAACTTGAGCTTGGAGACTGGGGATGTCCTGCCCTTGGGGTGGAGGTGCAGGCGTTGCCTCAGGGGTGGGTGGGACCCCAACATTAGAGCAGGGCTGTGGAGGAGTGTCTCTCTCCTGCCCCAGAGTGGGCTCTCCCCAGCACCAGCTTGGCTGCGTGATGGAGTCATTTGGCCATGGTTTGCCATGAGCAAATTCCCAGGCCTGGGCCTGGCTGAGGATCGCATTGCTGCAGCCAGGAGAATGGGGACTCTGGAGCTGTCAGTTGCCCCCGCAGTCTGGCAGCTGCTGTCCAAGCACCCAGAGCTCACACTGCCCCACCCGGGGCCATGGGACCTTGCTGCAGTCACGCAGGCTGCCAGCTGTCACTGGGTACATGTATGTTTGAGCATGTGTGTGAATAAATCTTGCCTTTGTAGATACAGCAGCTCCATCTATCTCCTACCCCGATGGGCCTGAGGCAGCTCCCCAGGCAGAGGCCAGCCAGCAGGAACACACAGCAAGGGGATCCACTCAGCCCAGGGGGGTCGTCAGGAGAGTCACTGCCAGGAAAGGCCAATGGGAGCTGTCTCTCGATCTCCAGACATGTTCTTACAACAGCAAATATCCCTCCTCCCATCTTAGTGTGCATGGTGGGCCAGCGCTGATGGCCAGGGGAGAACGCCCCCTACTGAGCACCCCATTTTCTGCAGCACAAGCCCCCTAGCGCTGCCCTGGGGCATTGGGGCTAGCACTGACTGCGTGGGGAGAGAGCCCCTGCCTGCTCCTTGCAGCCGCTTGCCTGTTCCTTGGCAGTCTCCCATCCACGGCGGGTCAGGCAGCTGCTGTTTAGCGGGATGTTTGGTTGTATGACAACACAGGTTGCTATGGTTGCCAGTACCCTGGAAACACAGCCCTCAGCAGCGACTGCCCTGCGGTGCAGCTGGCTGGGCAGGGGCAGTGCCTGGCATGGGGTGCCAGGTGGCCAGGGTCCCCTGTTTACGGGCAGGGTCCCAGAGGCCTGGGCTGTGCTGTGCCTCTACCCGCGGCACTGCTGGCTGCAGGCCAGCCTGGCTCGCACAGCACTGACTCAGTCTTTCTATGACTCGCCCCTGGCTGGGACTGTGAGGCCTGGACATCCCCAGGGCTGTGGGGGGAGATGAGCGCCAGCCAGGCCAGGGCCCCCATGGCAGGACAGGACCCCTCCCCCTGTCCCCTCACACCCCTTGGTCCGGACATGGCACAGCACACAGGGCGTGAGGCCAGCCTGGCAGCTGGAATCACAGGAGGACGTGTCAGTGTGCACACAAGTATGTCGGTGTGTGTATATGTGTGAATGACTGACTGTGTGTGTGCGTTGGCATGTGTACGAATTGACAATGCATGTGTCAGTGTGTGTGCACATGTATGTCAGCACCTGTGTGTGTCTGTGCGTGTGCATCCCTTTGCATGAATAGTTGCACACGCATGGGCGGGCATGTAGGGATGGCTGGGTGTGTGTGTGTGGCCCTGGGTGTTGGTTTGTGCTGCACACACAGGCATGAGCCCAGCTGTTGCAGCTGTTTCTGTTGCAGCTCATTAACCCATTGCCTGCCAGTGGCCTGGCTGGAGGATGCTGCTCTCTGTCCTGGGACATGTGGCTGGCAGGGCTCGCCCAATCCAGCATCCCTGGTGTCATGCTTGCCTACTCCTGTACACAGGGTTCCCTGCCACCCCTGGCTTCCCAGGCTCCGAGGTCACCACCCTGAGCTGTGGGCGTTGCAAGGCTCCCTCCTTAGAAATTGTGGCCAGGCTGAGTCATCCCCTGGCCTGGCCAGTCCTGCTCCATGAAACACCCCTTCCTGACACTGTGCAGACCTGGCCCCAGGGCTTGCTCCCCACCAGCCACCATGCGGCTGCCCCTGCTCCTCCTTGGTGAGTACCAGCTGCTTTGGGGGCGAGGCTCAGGCACTGGGGAAGCCCAGCCCCTTCCTAGCCCCAGGGTCCCACCTCAGGCACTGTCAGAACTCCCAGGATGCTGAGGGCTGCAGGGGACACAGTGCTGGCAGAGGTCACTGAGCATTGGGAAGCTGGTGCTGAATGCTGGGCAGGGGGCGGCAAGCAGGGGGCACTGGGCAGTGGGTGCTGAGCTCTGGGCAGGGGATACTCAGTTTCAAAACCGCAGGCAGGGAGATCAAGGTGCCTGGCACTCCAGGGCTCGCTCCTTTCACAGGCATTTGCAGTGTATATCTAAGTGCTGCTCATTCTGGTCATTCCCGGGTTGGGGGCTCAGACTGGCTGCTCCCCCACACCCAGCCAGGCCCCCCCCCCCCCAGGACAGTCCTGACCCACTGGGCAGGAGATTAGCCATCTGCTGGGCTCTGCTCACCCGTTGCGCTCTTGTTTTTCAGTTGGGTTCCTGGAATTTCACTGCACAGGTAACTGCGTATTGTGGGTGTGTGCGCGCACCTGTGTGTGTCCCTGTGTATGTGTCCCTGTTGGCTCTGTGTGTGTGTATGCGTGTATCTGTTGTCCCTGTGTGTGCCCCTATGTATGGGTGTCCCTATCCCTGTGTGTGTCGGGGGGAGGCGGGGCACAGGACTACCTAGGGCCTGCGCGAGCCTGGTGTGGACGCAGCTCATGGAGCAGTGCTTGGCCCAGCCCAGCTGAGCCACCTTGATGATGCAAGCTCTGTCCTGCAGGTACCACTCAGGGCTCTGCTGACAGAGCCATGTTGGGCAGGGGTGACAGCTCTTCACACCCTGCCCAACAGCCATGCCAGCAAACTCTGCGCGTAGGCCTGGCCAGTGTATCCCTAGCCGTGTGTGTGTTCACCCCTGCCTGTCTCACCCTAGCACTGTCTGGGCCTGGCACTGTCTGTGGGGGTCCCCTCTCTGCCTCCAGCTCTTGCTGGCTCTAAGGGTTTCTGATGTGATGGGGATGGGACTGGGCAACCACAACTCCAGCCCATGTGAGGCAGGGGTATGAAGGATCGCAGTGCAGTGAAAGGGTTGCAGTGGGGTGAAAGGTTGCAGGGGGTGTGAAGTGTTGCAGTGGGGTGGAGGCTCAAAGGGGTTGAAGGTTCACAGGTGAGTGAAGGATCATGGGGGTGGGCTCAGTGGGGCGGAGTGGCCCAAGGGGTGATGGGCACAGGGAGGAACAGCCCCATTATGGGGTGGGAGCCTGGGAGGGAAGGACTATATGGGGTAGGAGTTTCCTGTGGGGAGGGGCCCTCAGGGTGGAGGGGCCCTCGAGGGAAGGGGCCTATTGGGGTGGGGCTAGAGGAGAGCAGTCCCGTGGAGCAGATAGGACTGTGTGGGGATGGGGTCCTGGGAGGAAGGAGTGGTGCAATGGGGCCCTGGGGGTGGGGATAAGGCCCCGCGGGGCTGTGTGGAGAGGGGAGGGCCCTATGGGTCAGAGGGGCCATGAGAGGGGGGCTGTGGGTCTGACAGGCTGTGCCATCCCTGCAGGCCCATTCCTGGTGCGTCTGGCTGGGGGCCCCAGTGAGTGCGTGGGGCGTGTGGAGATCAACTACAAGGGCCGCTGGGGCTCGGTGTGTGACGACGAGTGGGACCTGGCCGACGCAGCCGTGGTGTGCAGGCAGCTGGGCTGCGGCACCGCACTCTCCGCCCCCGTGGGCGCCTGGTTTGGGGAGGGCTCGGGCCCCATCTGGCTCAATGAGGTGCGGTGCCAGGGCTCAGAGCAACATCTGCGCCACTGCCGTCACCGGGGCTGGCGCCAGCATGTCTGCAGCCACGAGGAGGACGCCAGCGCTGTGTGCTCAGGTGGGGCCAGCCGGAGCATGTGAGGTGGCAGCTGGGAAAACCACACAGCTGTGCCAGGCCGCACCCAGCTCTGGGACAACTATTGGGATCAGGTCCCATGAGCCATTCCCCACCCCCTGAGCCAGCTGGTCCACGCCTGGGGCCAGAATGGAGCGGACCCCCCTAGAGGTCCCCATGTCCCGTTCCCCGCCCCCTGAGCCAGCCAGTGCCTGCCTGGGGCTGGATGGAAGCCGGCGCCCCATAGAGGGGACAGGCCCCGTGTCCCATTCCCCACCCCCTGAGCCAGCTGGTCCCTGCCTGGGGCCAGAGCTGAGCGGATGCCCCTAGAAGGCCCCATGTGCTATTCCCCGCCCCTTGAGCCAGCCAGTCCCCGCCTTGGGCCGGAGCGGAGCGGATGCCCCTAGAAGGCCCTGTGTCCCACTACAGCATGGTGTGGCTGGGGCTCTGGGTATGGCGCAGGTGATATGGCCTGTTCCATTTCAGTGCCCATTGTGGCTGGCACCGATCCTTCCAGGGCCCAAAGGCCACACTCTCCCTGTGGCCGTGTCTATGTGTCCCTGTCTGACCCTGCTGTGCCCACAGCTCACCGCTTCCTGCCCATCATCACCACTGAGCCCTCGGTGCAGCCGGCCCTTGGGGACCACAGCCCCCCAGCACAGAGCACTGCCAGGCCAGCTTCCACCACGCCAGAGCACAGTGAGTATGAGACAAACCAATTCCCCCCCCTAGCAGACCCCCACCCCCAATGACCCTCCCACTCCTTGGCACATGCCTCCCTCCATTCCATCTCCCCAGCTTCCTGGGGCTTCATCCCAGGGGAAGTGGAATTGCTCATTTATGAGCATTGATTGGAGCTAGCTGCTATTACTGACCCCTGATGGGATAAGCCGCAGAACTGGAATGTTAAAATCAAGGATTAGAGCCTAGGTAGGAAGCCTCAAGTGGGCAAACGGGGAGGGAGGGTACCCGACCTTAAAAGTGGCATTGCTTGTTTCTGAGTCACTTCTCTACCATGTGTGGAAGAACAGCTGTATCCTGGGGGACTTCAATTCTTTTCAATTCCAAGGCAGAAGGGGCCATTGTGGTAATGTCTAGTCTGACCTCCTGCATAACACAGGCCCGAGAACATCCCCCAAGTAATTCCTAGAGCAGAGCTTTGAGAAAACCCTCCAATTGGAGTGACCTACCCTGGAGATCTCACACTGCCAGGATCAAACTGTCGTAGGAATTTCAGAATATTGTAGGTTTCAGAGTAGCAGCCGTGTTAGTCTGTATTTGTAAAAAGGAAAGGAGTATTTGTGGCACCTTAGAGACGAACAAATTTATTTGAGCATAAGCTTTCGTGAGCTGTAGTTTATGCTCAAATAAATTTGTTCGTCTCTAAGGTGCCACAAATACTCCTTTTCTTTTTGAGAATATTGTAGATGACAGTTTCCTAATCCAGAGAGTGCTGCAGCCAACACAGGGGAATTTTACACTTGAGCTTGTCTATAAACTGTTACCCGCACGCTCTAGGACACCCCACCTTTACCCTACCATGGGCTCAAGACATAACCCGGTTGATTTAGTTCCTAGGGCAATGGGCAAAAGGCACCTACCCTTACCCAGTTCTTAGGGCTCAGGGCCCCCACCCCCATTCTTAGGGCTCAGGAAGTAATCAGCGGGTTTGCGGGGCCTGTTTACCAGTGAAAGAGCCTTATACAGTAATATCCTTAACTTCTATTTATTAACACTTACCAACACAGAATACACAGGCTAAGCATACAATGCTGACCACTCCCAATAAGGCAGACGAAATTTTCCTGATGTCCAGTCAGGATCAGGTCATCCGGGGCTCTAGCTTCCAGCACGGTATGGTTGGCAGGGTGTTGAGGTTTGGCAACTCTGATCTTGAGCTTTGTCCTGGAGTTAGGTTCTAAAGAACTTCCTTTTGGAGTTGGGACCCCAATTTATATAGTTAAACTTGAGTCCTGCTTAGCTATACCTTAATCAAATGTTTTAAACTAAAGTACTACAAAACAGTATTTTTCACAATCCTAGCCCATTACAAAACAATTCTTTAACCAATCATTCCCCACCACCTTAATTGATTTAAATCTTGCAAAATGAGTTATGCAACAGACAGAAACAATCAAAGAACCAGACAGAGACCATACAGATGACCATGAGAGAAGTGGGGACCAAAAAGGCAAAACAATAAAGAAGTAGATTTCACACCCAGTGGCAAGTGGTTCCTTGCCAGACAGAATGCTATCAGACAAAGTTTTCTTTAAACATTTCTTTATCTGGTGATTGTGGGTACCATTAGGACAGGAGCACCTCTTTAACAGCCCGATATTGCTTTGCTTTGATATAATTTAGAGGGAATGTGAGGATGTGACTTTCTGCTTCTTATCTCATGGCTAAGGCTGTGAGTCTGTCATGGATTCCGTGACTTTCTGTGACTTCCGTGACTTCTGAATTTGCTGGTGCAGGCTGAGGGGCTGCCCGAGCCTGGCAGCCCCTGGGCCAGCAGCAGCAGTTTGGGCGTGTGGGAGGGGGTGCTTACCTTGGGGTGGGGGGTGCCCTGGCTTCCACTGGCATGGGCCCCCTGCAGCTCCCAGTTAGTGGGAGCTGTGGCAGCCAGCACTTGTGGTGGGAGCAGTGGAGCCCCTGCCCTGGCCTGCCTCTGCTGCTTAGGAGCGGAAGGGATGTGGAGCCAGGTAGGAAGCCTCTGCCAGCCCCACTGATCACCCCCACCCCAGCACCAGCAGGGGTCCCGGGCCACCTCCCCCAGCACCCACGGCGCCCCCGGACTTCCTCCGCCCGCCCGCCCCAAGCAGCTTCTCCGCCCAAGTGTTAGTCAGGGCGGGTATCTTTAGTAAAAGCCATGGACAGGTCACGGGCCCGTGAATTTTTGCAAAACAGGAACTGATCAGAGAACTAACAATGAATGGCAGCTTAGGTTCAAGGGTCACGGAGCCCCAGGATTGGTACTACACCCCAGTGTTTAAACAGGCTCTTGGAGGAACCTCTCAGTGTGCCAGACCCCACAAGGGGTCTCACTCTTCTGCCAGGCCATGGGGCCTCACTGCCCCCGAGACTGAGCTTTCTGGGCTCTTGCCTCCTGCTTTGCCCCACGAGCTCTGCCCAGCATGTGAAACTGAGTCATACTCCGGGGAGAGCCTTGTCTGTGTGAAGGGATTCATGCACCTCAGCCAGTATTTACAGTGATACCTGGCGGCGTTTTCAAAGCAGTCGGGTTTGTTCGCCCGTGGCATGCAGCACAGGGAGTCCTTAGGGCAGCGCAGAGAGAGGAAGGGTCAAGCAGAGCTCATTCTGGTCAGCCCCGAACCCAGTCGAGCGGGAGCAAACCCCATCTTCAGATTCTGTTCCTTAGTCAGTTGCCAGGTGAGAACCCCCAAGCTTCTGCCAGAGCCTACACTTATCCTCTGCTGGTCACCTCCCAGTCCTCTGTCTCCAGGCAGGGCCATGTTGAATTCACAGCCGCACCTGCTAGAGCAGGGGTGGGCAAACTTTTTGGTCCAAGGGCCACATCTGGGTGGGGAAATTGTATGCAGGGCCATGAATGTAGGGCTGGGGTGGGGGTTGGGATGCGGGAGGGAGTGTGGGGTGCAGGAGGGGGTGTGGAGTGCAGGAGGGGGCTCAGGACAAGGGGTTGAGGTGCAGGAGGGATGCGGGTTGAAGGAGGGGACTCAGGACAGGGGGCTGGGGAGCAGGAGGGGAACAGCAGGGGGCTCAAGGCAAGGGGTAAGGGGGCCTCAGGGCAGGGGGTTGGGGTGTGGGGTGCAGGAGGGGTTCAGGGTGTAGGCTCCGGCCCAATGTCGCTTACCTCGAGCAATGCTGGGGTGGCAGCGGCGCGCAGTGGGGCTAAGGCAGGCTCCCTGCCTGCCCTGGCCCTGCACCACTCCCAGAAGTGGCCAGCATGTCTGGCAGTGGCTCCTGGGGGTGGGTGGGGTGGGGCAGGCGGCTCCGCCGTGTGCTGCCCTTGCCTGCGTGTACCACCCCCGAAGCTCCCATTGGCCATGGTTCCCCATTCCCAGCCAATGGGAGCTGTGGAGGGCAGTGCCTGCAGGCGAGGGCAGCGCACTGAACCCTCTGCCCCCTCACCCCCAGGGGCTGCAGGGATGTGGTGCCAGCTGCTTCTGGGAGCGGCGCGAGGCCAGGGCAGGCAGGGAGCCTGCCTTAGCCCTGCTGCGCCATGGGGCTGGCAATCCTGACGGGCCGGATCTGGCCCGCGGGCCATAGTTTTCCCTCCCCTGTGCTAGCGCGACCCATGGTGGAGTATCCATTGGTCACTCCTTGGAGCTTCCATTGTTCCTCTGGACTCCTTGTTGCTCTAGGTCTGTTTCAACCAGTTCCGTAATGAACCATTTGTTCCACCCAGACAATGAGATGACACACACTCCTGTGTGTCCTGCACTATTCCAGCAGTAGTGCTATCCCACTGGGTAGCAATGCAAACTACAGAGGGAAACTGAGGTGCACATAGGATTCATAAAAATATTACCAAAAATTCCCACTTTGTCACAAGTGAGCATGACCTGATCACATTTATAATGTTCAAAAAGGAGAAACTCCAGTCCAGCAATCTGTATACTTGATGCTTTAGAAGGGACAATTTCACAAAGCTGAAAATAATTATGAGCCAAATCATCTGGGAGGAAGAATTTAATCAGAAAAATGTGTATGATAATTGGGAATAGTTTGAGAATTAGATGCTCCAAAAGCCACAATTCCACAACTGAGGAAGAAGGCCTTGCTGGTTAAAAAAACTGACCTGCTTGAAAGGAGGAGCGAAAGCAGTGATAAAAATAAAAACAAATATATATAACAAATGGAAGAAAAAAGGAAGTTGGCAGTAATGAATATAAATCAGAAGCTAGAAATTATATAAAATTGATTAGGGAAGACTTTTAAGTGAAGTAGTAACGAAAAGAATCCTGACCATGGTATTGATGCATTACTAGATGAAAATGGTAGAATTATTAATAATAATGCAGAAAAGGCAGATGTGTTCAATAATTATTTCTGTTCTGTATATGGGAAGAAAACAGATGATGCAGTCTCATCATAGAACGATGATAACACTCTTCTTATTCCACTAATATCTGGAGGATATGAAATAGAAGCTACTAAAGTTAGAAATGTTTTTAAATCAGCAGGTCCAGATGACTTCCATCAAAGAGTTTTAAAAGAGCTGCCTGAGGGACTCACTGGACCATTACTGTTGATTTTCATTCAGTCTTGGAGCATTGCAGTAGTTCCAGAGGACTAGAAGAAAGCTAACATTGTGCTAATATTTAAAAAGGGTAAACAGGATCACCCAGGTAATTATAGGCCTGTCAGCCTGACATCAATCCTAGGCAAGATCATGGAGCAGATGACATGGGACTTGACTAATAAGGTATTAAAGTAGAGTAATGTAAATATTGCAGATCAACATGGGTTTATGTAAAATAGATCCTGTCAAATTAACTTGATATCTTTTTTGATAGGATGACAAGTTTGGTTGATAAAGGTAATAGTGTTAATGTAATATACTTAGTCTTCTCTGAGGCATTTGACTTAGCACTGCATGACCACCACTCCCAAGAGGAGGAGACGGGTGGTGGTGATCGGGGACTCCCTCCTAAGGGGGGCAGAGTCATCCATTTGCCAACCAGACTGAGAGACTCGAGAAGTGTGCTGCTTGCCAGGAGCTAGAATTCAGGATGTGATGGAGTGTCTGCCGAGACTCAGCCCTCGGACCGCTACCCCTTCCTACTTCCCCACGTGGGCACCAATGATACTGCCAAGAATGACCTTGAGTGGGTCACTGCAGACTTTCAACTAGGTTCGCCAGGGGACGGTGACCTATGCCCTGAGGTAAGTGGGGAAGTGGGATATCGGGAGAAAACACAAGGAGGAGGGTGCAACAGGGGCAGCCTCCTGATTCATACTGAGAAAATAGGGCAAGCGGCTAGTTATCTTAGGTGCCTGTACACAAACGCAAGAAGCCTGGGAAACAAGCAGAAAGAATTGGAAGTCCTGGCACAGTCAAAGAACTATGATGTGATTGGAATAATAGAGACTTGGTGGGGTAGCTCACGTGACTGGAGCACTGTCATGGATGGGTATAAACTGTTCAGGAAGGACAGGCAGGGAGAAAAGGTGGAAACATTGCACTATATATAAGAGAGCAGTATGATTGCTCAGAGCTCCAGCATGAAACTGGAGAAAAGCCTGTTGAGAGTCTTTGGGTTAAGTTTAAAACCAAGAGCAACAAGGATGATGTCGTGGTGGGTGTGTGCTATAGACCACCGGACCAGGAGGATGAGGTGGACGAGGCTTTCTTTGGACAATTACTTGAAGTTTCCAGAACACAGGCCCTGGTTCTCATGGGGGACTTCAATCACCCTGACATCTGCTGGGAGAGCAATACAGCGGTGCACAGACAATCCAGGAAGTTTTTGGAGAGTGTTGGGGACAACTTCCTGGTGCAAGTGCTGGAGGAACCAACTAGGGGCCGTGCTCCTCTTGACCTGCTGCTCACAAACAGGGAAGAATTGGTAGGGGAAGTAGAAGTGGGTGGCAACCTGGGCAGCGGTGACCATGAGATGGTGAATTTTAGGATCCTCACAAAAGGAAGAAAGGACAGTAATAAAATACGGACCCTGGACTTCAGAAAAGCGGACTTTGACTCCCTCAGGGAACTGATGGGCAGGATCCCCTGGGAGGCTAATATGATGAGGAAAGGAGCCCAGGAAAGCTGGCTGTATTTTAAAGAAGCCTTATTTAGGGCGCAGGAACAAACCATCCTGATGTGCAGAAAGAATAGCAAATATGGCAGGCGACCAGCTTGGCTTAACAGTGAACTCTTTGGTGAGCTTAAACACAAAAAGGAAGCTTACAAGAAGTGGAAACTTGGACAGATGACTAGGGAGGAGTATAAAAATGTTGCTCGAGCATGAAGGGGTGTAATCAGGAAGGCCAAAGCACAACTGGAGTTGCAGCTAGCAAGGGATGTGAAGGGTAACAAGAAGGGTTTCTACCTGTATGTTAGAAAAAGAAAAAGGTCAGGGAAAGTGTCGGATCCTTAATGAATGGGGGAGGCAACCTAGTGACAGAGGGTGTGGAAAAAGCTGAAGTACTCAATGCTATTTTTGCCTCCATCTTCACAGACAAGGTCAGCTCCCAGACTGCTGTCCTGGGCAGCATGGTATGGGGAGGAGGTGAGCAGCTGTGAGTGGTGAAAGAACAGGTTAAGGACTATTTAGAAAAGCTGGACATGCACAAGCCCATGGGTCCAGATCTAATGTATCCAAGGGTGCTGAGGGACTTGGCTGATGTGATTGCAGAGCCATTGGCCATTATCTTTGAAAACTCATGGTGATCAGGGGAGGTGCCGTACAATTGGAAAAAGGCAAATATAGTGCCCATCTTTAAAAAAGGGAAGGAGGAGAACCCGGGGAACTACAGACCGGTCAGTCTCACCTTAGTCCCTGGAAAAATCATGGAGCAGGTCCTCAAGGAAACCATTTTGAAGTACTTGGAGGAGAGAAAGGTGATCAGGAACAGTCAACATGGATTCACAAAGGGCAAGTCATGTCTGACCAACCTGATTGCCTTCTATGATGAGTTAACTGGCTCTGTGGATATGGAGAAAGCAGTGGACATGATATATCTGGACTTTAGCGAAGCTTTTGTTACGGTCTCCCACATTATCTTGCCAGCAAGTTACAAAAGTATGGACTGGATGAATGGACTATAAGGTGGATAGAAAGCTGGCTAGATTTTCGGGCTCAATGGGTAGTGATCAATGGCTCGATGTCTAGTTGGCAGCCGGTATTAAGCAGAGTGCCCCAGGGGTCGGTCCTGAGGCCAGTTTTGTTCAACATCTTTATTAATGATCTGGAGGGTGGGATGGATTGCACCCTCAGCAAGTTCGCAGATGACACTAAACTGTGGGGAGAGGTAGATATGCTGGAGGGTAGGGATAGGGTCCAGAGTGACCTAGACAAATTGGAGGACTGGGCCAAAAGAAATCTGATGAGGTTCAACAAGGACAAGTGCAAAGTCCTGCACTTAGACAGAAGAATCCCATGCACTGCTACAGGCTGAGGACCGACTGGCTAAGCAGCACTTCTGCAGAAAAGGACCTGGGGATTACAGTGGATTAGAAGCTGGATATGAGTAAACAGTGTGCCCTTGTTGCCAAGAAGGATAAAGGCATATTGGGCTGTATTAGTAGGAACATTGCCAGCAGATCGAAGGAAGTGATTATTCCCCTCTATTCGGCACTGATGAGGCCACATCTGGAGTACTGCATCCAGTTTTGGGCCCCCCACTACAGAAAGGATGTGGACAAATTGGAGAGAGTCCAGTGGAAGGCAGCGAAAATGATTAGGGGGCTGGGGCACATGACTTATGAGGAGAGGCTGAGGGAACTGGGCTTGTTTAGTCTGCAGAAGAGAAGAGTGAGGGGGGATTTCATAGCAGCCTTCAACTACCTGAAAGCGGTTTCCAAAGAGGATAGAGCGCAGCTTTTCTCAGTGGTGGCAGATGACAGAACAAGGAGCAATGGTCTCAAGTTGCAATGGGGGAAGTCTAGGTTGGATATTAGCAAACACTATTGCACTAGGAGGGTGGTGAAGCACTGGAATGGGTTACCTAGGGAGGTGGTGGAATCTCCATCCTTACAGGTTTTTAAGGCCTGTCTTGACAAAGCCCTGGCTGGGATTATTTAGTTGGACTTGGTCCTGCTTTGAGCAGGGGGTTGGACTAGATGACCTCCTGAGGTCTCTTCCAATCCTAATCTATGATTCTATGACCAACTAGAATGAAACAAAACAATATAAAATTAACACGGCACACATTAAATTGATTAAAAACTGGCTAGCTGATAGGTCTCAAAATGTAACTGTAAAGAGGGAATCATCAACGAGCAGCAGTGTTTCTAGCGGGATCCCACTAGGGTCAGGTCTTGACCCTATGCTCCTTAACATTTTTATCAATGACTTGGAAGAAAACATAAAATCGTCACTGATAAAGTTTGCAAATGACACATATATTGGGGGAGTGGTAAATAATGAAGGGGACAGGTCATGGACACAGAGCGATCTGGATCAGTTGATAAAGTGGGTGCAAGCAACAATATGTGTTTTAATATGGCTGAATGTAAATGTATTCATCTAGGAACAAAAAATGCAGGCCATGCTTACATGGTGAACTCTCTCCTGGGAAGCAGTGACTCTGAAAAAGATTTGGGGATCGTGGTGGATAATTGGCTGAACATGAGCTTCCAGTGTGAAGCTGTAACCAAAAGGGCTAATGAGATGCTGGGATGGAGGGGAATCTCAGGTAGAAGTAGAAAGGCATTTTTACCTCTATACTTGGCACTGATGTAACCACTTATGTGATCAACCAGTTCTGGTGCCCACAATTCAAGAAGGATAGTGATAAATTGGAGTGGGGTCAAAGAAGAGCCACAACAATGATTAAAGGGTTAGGAAACCTGCCTCAGAGTGACAGACTCAAGGAGCTCGATCTATTTAGCTTCACAAAGAGAAGGTTAAGGGAGGATGATCACAGACTATAGATATCTACATGGGGAACAAATATTTAATAATGGGCTCTTCAGTCTAGAGAGGAAGGTCTAACACGATCCAGTGGCTGGAAGTTGAAGCTGGACAAATTCAGACTGGAACTAAGATGTACATTTTTAACAGTGAGAGTAATGAAGCATTGGAACAATTTACCGTGGGTTGTTGTGGATTCTCCATCATGGACAATTTTTGACTCAAGATTGGGTGTTTTTGTAAACAATATGCTCGAGGAATTATTCTGGGGATGTTCTCTGGCCTGTGCTATTCAGGAGGTCAGACTAGATGATGAAAGGGGTCCCTTCTGGCCTTGGGATCTATGAATCTACAAGCTTCCCCTTCTGTCCGTTCTGATGTCACCAAGCATGCCAGAGCCATGACCCTGTCAGAGACTTGCCCCCACCCATCAGCCTGGGCAGTGGGGCTCCCTTCCCTTGGAAAGACCCTCCCATGCCCCAGCCTGGCCTGTGGCGCCCCTTCCTCTACAGAGAGCCCCCAGCCTCTTAGTCTGGCCTATGGGCCCCTCTGTGATCCCCATCCCCTGGTGACCTATTATCTGCCCTGCAGGCGGCGCCCCCCTGCGGCTCGTGGGGGGCCCCCACAGCTGCGCGGGGCGTCTGGAGGTGCTTCACGGGAGCCAGTGGGGCTCGGTGTGTGATGACGGCTGGGGGCTGCTGGAGGGCGCCGTGGTGTGCCGGGAGCTGGGCTGTGGCGCAGTACAGGCTGCCCCCAGGGGGGCGCATTTTGGGACTGGCACCGGCCCCATCTGGCTGGATGATGTGGGCTGCAGTGGGAAGGAGATGTCCCTGCAGCAGTGCCGGGCACAGCCCTGGGGGCGAACCAACTGCCAGCACGATGAGGATGCCAGCGTCATCTGCACAGGTACCCCTCCGAGCTATCCCCGCAGGAGCTACCTACCCGCCTAGGACCAACTACCCCCCAGAGCTACCCCTCCCCCAGAGCTACCTCCCCCAGAACTACCTTCCCCCCCAGAGCTATCTCTCCCCCGACAAACTATTCCCCAGAACTGCCTCCCCCACAGAGCTACCTCCCCAGCGACTTGCTACGCCTCCCCCAGAGCTACCTCCCCTACAACCCGACGAAGTATTCCCCGGAACTACCTCCCCTACAGAGCTACCCCCCACCCAGAACTATCTACTTCCCCAGAGTTACCTCCCCCCAGAACTACCTACCACCCTGACAAACTACTCCCCAGAGCTACCTCCCCCTGACCTACTACACCCCAGAGCTACCCCTCCCCCAGAGCTACCCCCTGAGAGCTACCTACCCCCTGACAAACTACTCTCCAGAACTACCTACCTCCCCAGAGCTACCTCTCCCTGACCTACTACCCCCCAGAACTACCTACCCCTGACCTACTACCCCACAGAGCTACCCCTCCCCAGAGCTACCTCTCCCTGACCTACTACCCCCAGAACTACCTACCCCTGACCTACTACCCCACAGAGCTACCCCTCCCCAGAGCTACCTCTCCCTGACCTACTACCCCCCAGAACTACCTACCCCTGACCTACTACCCCACAGAGCTACCCCTCCCCCAGAGCTACCTCTCCCTGACCTACTACCCCCCAGAACTACCTACCCCTGACCTACTACCCCACAGAGCTACCCCTCCCCCAGAGCTACCTCTCCCTGACCTACTACCCCCAGAACTACCTACCCCTGACCTACTACCCCACAGAGCTACCCCTCCCCAGAGCTACCTCTCCCTGACCTACTACCCCCCAGAACTACCTACCCCTGACCTACTACCCCACAGAGCTACCCCTCCCCAGAGCTACCTCTCCCTGACCTACTACCCCCAGAACTACCTACCCCTGACCTACTACCCCACAGAGCTACCCCTCCCCAGAGCTACCTCTCCCTGACCTACTACCCCCCAGAACTACCTACCCCTGACCTACTACCCCACAGAGCTACCCCTCCCCCAGAGCTACCTCCCCACCCAGAACTACCTACTTCCCAGAGCTACCTCTCCCCCAGGACCAACTATCCCACTGAGCTATTTTCCCCCCAAAGCTACCTCCGCCCCGAACTACTTACCTCACCAACCTACCTCTTACCCAGAGCTACTGACCCCCTCGACCAACTACCCCCCAGAGCTACCTTCCCCCCCCCAAAACTACCTACCTTAGAGCTATTTACCTCCCTGGGAACAACTATCTTTCAGAGCTCTTCCCCTCCCAGAACTAGCCCCCCAAGAACTACCTCCCCACCCCCCAAACTACCTACCTCCCAAAGCTACCTAGCCTTCTAGGACCAACTACCTCCCAGAGCAGTCTTCTCCCCAGAGCTATCTACCCCCAGACAAACTGCCCCCTCAGATCCCTGCTCTCTTCCCAAGGGGGCTGATCTCTGCTCTCTCCCCAGGGGGTGCTGTGCTGCGGCTGGTGGATGGCGCTGGTTCCTGCTCTGGGCGGCTGGAGGTTTTCCACCAGGGCCGCTGGGGCACAGTGTGTGATGACATGTGGGCGTTGCCAGGTGCGGCTGTGGTGTGCCGGGAGCTCGGCTGCGGAAACCCACTCTCTGCTCCCAGGGGGGCCTTTTTTGGTGAGGGCAGCGGTCCCATCTGGCTGGACAACGTGCGATGCCAGGGCAATGAGTCGGCGCTGAGCCGGTGTCGGGCTGCACCATGGGGCGTGCACGACTGCCAGCATGCGGAGGACGCTGGTGTGGTGTGTACAGGTAACGTGTGTGCAGGCGGAATCTCTCGTCTCTTGCACTGGGCTCTCGCCTGCCGGCACCCAGATTTTAACTCTCTCCGTTTCTCTGCTGCTTCCATCAGCAGATGGCGCTGGTTTGTGGCACATTTTCTCCATGCTGCGCTGAGCCAGAGGGTTTGGTTCATTCTCATGTAAATCAGAATTAGCCTGACGGTTCATTGGGATCCCTCCGTTAAGCAGTTTCTTTTAATATTCCAAAGTTATACCCTGGGTAGGAGCCAAGATCTGGCATTCTTCCCTTCCCCTCCCTGGGCTGGACCCCCATCGCACTTCTAGAGCAGGACGCCCAGCTAGAAACAAAACCCTGGATTGGGCCTCTGAATGCAGGGCCCAGCCTGGATGTCCCTGTACTGAATGGAGAGCAAGAGGCACTTTGCTGCAGTGCAAACAGGAATCCATTCGGGGCAGTTCTCTGGCCTGAGAATGTGTGAAGGAACACAACCAATGGTTTGCTCAAGGAGAGCTGTTGATGGGGTTCGTAAGGCACACAAAGGAACAGTGGCTAGTTGGGTGTGAGATATGTGTCTGTACGCTGGAGTTCAGCTAGTTTGCTCGCGAGGCCGTTCAGCTGTCTGGGCGCACAGTGAGCTCTTCCTAGATGGGTTTTTTTTACACTCCTCTCTAATGCTTGACTTACCCCTGGCAGCCGGGGCTCCCCCTGTGTGTTGAACCTTGGAGGGTCTCTGTAGTTGGACAGAGGGAGAGAAGCTCTGCTCCTAGGTGGCTGTCAGACTTGCTTGGTCACTGAGCAGGATGTAGATTTGCTTTAACCATCGCATCTCTTACTCCTGGGCTCATGGAAATTCCTTAGCCAATGTGTCTAAAAGGTATGTAACCCCGCTGCCAGCTAGTGGTCGCAGCGACAAGAGCCAGGTTCAATATCTAGGGGTTCCTCTTAACACCACAAAACAGAACTGGTTCAAGCCCCCACCCAGAAATCTGGGAAAAGTTACCACCTCCCCACGTGCCTCCAAGAGGCAATGCTTCCCCCTCACAAACTCTGAGTCTGCGTACAGTATAGAAGAGAAAACTTCTAAGAAAAGGCAAAAGGAACCCAGCATTAATTTGAGAAGACACCACAACAGTGACTCCCAAATAAGCAATCAGTAAGTAAAACACCCGCCTGGCAGTGTCCTTTGCCTCAGTTTCCCACATTGCAGTGTGAAAGTCCAATGGACAAGTGTCCCTTTAGTATGCCACTCCCCTCCCCCTGCGCTGCACCCCACTTGGTTGTCTGAGGTGGGCGAACTCCCAGAATTTGGGGGGCATTCACAGGGTTCAGCTCCCGCTCCTGAAGGGGGGTTGGGCAATACCTCTGTCACTGCTGCTTGCTGCAATGCCGTGGTCTGACGCCCCGTCCGCAGGGATCTCACTGGACAGCGAGGAGCCTAACTGCTGCAGCCTCTGCCGTGCTTTCACCACCCCACTGTCCCGACACCCGCGCCAAGGTTCATCCCCAGGTCCTGCTCTAGTGAGCGCTGAGCAGAAGCCAGGCCGCTCCATGGTGTCCACTCAGGGCTCTCTTTACACCCTGGAGAAGCATCAAACAGTAGCTAAAACGCTTTAACCCCCAGCTAGAAACCCCTATTCCGGCCCCTGTTGCTTTTCCCTGGGGTTTGGCATCTCTGTGCCTGCTTAGTGAGGAGATTAGGGAGACCCTCTCAGTCAGGGCAGGCTAAGTACAGGTCTGCTGCCCTTTACTCCTGCAATAAGGATAACAATAAGGTGCCCTGCATCCAAGACTATTAACCCTTAACAGCCCAAATGGATCACTTTGGCCAGGCAGCTGTCTGCTGAGTGCCTAGGCAAAGGAGGCGGTGTCTATGCAAATACAGCCTGTTCCTCGCATCTTGCGTCACTAGAGGATAGGGCAGAGCTCAGTCAGATCCTGCTTGCCCACGGATTGTGGGCAAGTGATGGGATGAGCCAGGGCCATCTCGCAACCTTCTTCAGTACCCTCGCTAGGGGAACAGAGGGAGAGCACCTGATCAAAGGCACAGGGGAGCATATAGCTCTTACCAAGCTATTCCAGGCACATTTAACCTCTGTACAACTTACTGTGTGCGCTGTGTGTGCATGTGCACAATGTGTGCACGTGTATGTGCATGCAGCGTGTGTGTGCAGTGTGCATTTTTGTGCAATGCAGTGTGTGTGCATACAGTGCATATGTGCAGTGGGGAGTGTGTGGGTACATTGTGTGTGCATACAGGGTGTGTGTGCATACAGTGTGTGTGTGCAGCGGTTTGTGTGTGCAGTGTATGCGTGTGCTTGCAGTGTACAATCTGTGTGTGCAGCAGTGTGTGTGTGCAATGTGCATGTGCGCAGTGCTGTCTGTGTATGCAGGTGTGTGCAGTGTTAATTGTGCATGGGCAGTGTGTATTTGCAGTGTCCATGCAGTGTGTCTGTGTATAGCGTGCACAGTGTGTGTATATCTCTGGGAGTGTGTTTGTGCCAACCCCCTCAGGTTGCTAGGATCTCCTTGTCACGGAGTCCCCGGGCGATGCTCTGGAACTGCTCCCCATGAAGTCAGTCAGGACTCTGGGGAAGTCTCCTTTCTGCGAGCAGCCTGTCTGCAGGGCAAACAGCTCACACAACTTCCACCTTCCTGGGTCTGACCTCGGAGCATTCAGCATCCTCTGCTCCTCCGTGAGCTTCCCACAGTGAGTCCGCCCAGGCAGGGTCTTGGGGAAGCCGGAGGGTCCTGCACCCCAGCTCCGCAGTCAGACGTGACTCTCAGCCAGCCAGTAAAACAGAAGGTTTATTAGATGACAGGAACATGGTCTAACACAGAGCATGTAGGTGCAGAGAACAGGACCCCTCAGCTGGGTCCATTTTGGGGGGCAGTGAGCCAGACAACCACGTCTGTACTTCACTCCATGTCCCCAGCCAGCCCCAAACTGAAACTCTCTCCAGCCCCTCCTCCTCTGGGCTTTGTCCCTTTCCCGGGCCAGGAGGTCACCGGATTCCTTTGTTCTCCAACCCTTTAGCTCTCACCTTGCAGGGGGATAGGGCCCAGGCCATCAGCATCCAGGAAACAGGGTGTCGGCCATTCTCTGTGTCCAGACCCCTGCACACACCTGCCCTCTAGGGCTCTGCAATCATCATACACCCTTACCCCACCACCTAGATACTTAAGAACTGCATAGGGGAAACTGAGGCACTCCCACAATATTCGGAGGAAACATTAAGAACAGTCCCGCTTTGTCACACTCCTCCATCTCTTTCACAGACGAATTGGCCCATGTGAGGCAGCGCTTTGCCAAGCCCATGGCCCCACAGCCACGAATGCAGAAGCCACGAATGCAGAAGCCACGGACGCAGAAGTCACGGACGCAGAAGCCCCGGCCCCGGCCCCGGCCCCGGCCCCGGCCCCCTTCAGCGGCACGGGAGGAGACACAGGCACCAGCCCAGGTATCCCCACAGGCAGTGCAACCAGGTGAGTGAGCAGTGGGACTACCCTCCCCAGCCAGCCCCCTGTTCCGGGCCAGCCAGTCACCAACCCACTCCCTAGTCCAGCCTCCAACCTGCCCCATCCCAACCCAAAGCCATCCCCCTGCTAGCTCCCAACCCATCTGTCCCTGATCCTCAGGATCCTGCATTAGACAGTCCCTTGAAGGAACCCATCAGTGTGCTAGACCCCAAGGGGTCCCAATCTTCCTCCAGGATCAGCCACACCAGCCTCACCGCCTCCGAGACTGAACCTCTGGGGTCCAGCCCTTCTGCTCCACCCGGCGAGCTCTGCCCAGGGCGTCCAGCTGAGAGACTCCTGGGAGAGCCTGGGCCGCCCTGCAGGGATTCCTGGGCCGCCCTGCAGGGATTCCTGCACCTCAGCCGGGATTGACAGTGACACCTGGCGTGGGGCAGGCCTTAGGGTAGCAGGACGTTGTCCAGAGTGGCCAAGCCAGGACTCTCTTGAAGGAACCGTGCCACCGTGGTGTCCTCTCAACCTGCTCTGCCCCAGAGCAGCTTCCCTCCCTGCCCCTGGCAGCCCTCCCTAGCCCAGTAAGGCACTGCCATGCCTGCCCATCAGAAACATAGTACTGGCAACTCCTGCCTTGGCACACTAGCCCTTAGTCCGGCCCCATCCTGCCCTCACCCGCCCAGCCAGCTCCCAGCCCCTCATTTGCCCCAAACTTCACCTGCCCAGCCAGCCCTCAGCCTCCCATCAGCCCCTCCAGTCCCCCCTCCAGTCCAGCCAGCCCACAGCTCCCCATCTGCTCCCCATCCCGCCCCACCTGCCCAGCCAGCTCTCAGCCCCCCATATGCCCCTCATTCCACCCCTGCAGTCCAGCCAGCCCACAGCTCCCCATCTGCCCCCCATCCCGCCCCACCCGCCCAGCCAGCCCTCAGCCCCCCATATGCCCCTCATTCTACCCCTGCAGTCCAACCAGCCCTGTACTCCCCGCTGCCAGGCTGTCCCTCTGCTGCTGGCTGGGCTCCTGTTTCCCGTGTGCCTGGGGCAGGTCCGGCTGGTGGGGTGTGAGGGAGGTCCTGGCTGGCGTGGGGTCCTGGCTGGCGTGGGGTGAGGGGGGTCCTGGCTGGCGGGGGGTGAGGGGGTCTGGCTGGTGGAGGGTAAGGGGGGTCCGGTGGCAGGGGGTCCTAGCTGGTGGAGGGTGAGGGGGTCTGGCTGGCGGGGGATGAGGGGGGTCCGGCTGGCAGGAGGTCCTGGCTGGCGGTGGGTGAGGGGGGTCCTGGCTGGTGGGGGGTGCTAAGCCAGCTGCTCTGTATTCCAGGGAAGTGGAAGCCGTTGTCTTTGCTGGAGGTCACCAGCCCCCGGGAGGCCGCCCAGCCAGAGGGGACCTCGCGGGGCCCCCCGCCCTCAGGAGAGCCAGAGCTGCCCACTGCTGGACCCGCAGGTCAGTCTGGGAACCTGCAGCTCGAGCTGCCCAGCCATCCTCGCTGTACCCATCCTGCCCTGGCTCCGAGCGCTCCGCCCAGCAGAGCACCTGTTTTTTCCACTGCTGTCTGTCCAGATCTCCCCAGCACTTCTGCCTGGGAGACCCTCCCTGCCCCCCTCCCCCCATAGGGGACGCCTGCAGCTCGAACGGCGCTGGCCTCACTGTCAAAGTGACGAGCCAGGGGCCAGCTAGTGCTGTGGGTGACACCCTCTTGGGCTGGGCCTGAGCCCCCAGGGGCCACCAACCAGCCCCAGGGCAAAGAACCAGGCTGGGTTAGGCCCTCATCCTTGCTCTGCCCCTCTGCCCCCCAGTCCTCTGCCTGTCCTATCTCCCAGCCCCCTTCCCCATGGGCTGGGGCTAGGCAGTGGCTACCCACCTCCCTTGTAAAGTGCTGTGAGATGAGGGGTGGAGAGGGCAGAGTGGGGGAGCGGTGGTTTTATCGGGGTGTGCACATGGGGACGGACGGCTGGACAGATGGGGTGTATGGGGACTGAGGGTTAGTGTGTCAGATGCAACCTTCTGCAACCTTTACATTGAAATGTTCCCAGTTGCTATTAATATGAAGTTGTGAAGGATAAAGGTGCGATGAAACCCAGCTTAGCTTTCAGGGTCGAGCCTCTGGAGCGCTGACAAGCCGTGGTCAGTGAAAGGCCACAGTGCAGCACTTGGAGGGATAAAACCAAGCTTCGCTTAACTAATCATTTTCCTTTTCAATGATTGCCACGTAGGCAGCACAGCAGTTATACTCGCACCAAAGATTGATGGGTGTACCACGGACAGCAGAGTGAAGTGAACTGAGCGGTGCCCTTTGGATGTTAACTGCTATTCAGCAAAACTGTTTCTTTCATAGGCACCAGCTCCATGGGTGCTCCAGAGCTGGAGAACCCATGAAAAAATGTTAGTGGGTGCTTAGCACCCACCACAACCAGCTCCTGCCCTTCCCCCACAGTGCCTCCCGTCTGCTGGCGGCCCCACGGATCAACTCCTCCCCCTCCCTCCTGCACTCAGCTGTTCCACGTGTGCAGGAGGCACTGGGAGGAAGGGGGAGGAGCGGGACAGGAAACGCTGGGTGGGGAGGAAGGGGGGGAACTGGGCTGGAAGAGACGGGGCAGGGGTGGAGTGGGGGCGGGAAGAGGCAGGATAGGAGTAGGAGCTTGGGGAAAGGGTTAGGCCAAACCCTAATTTGTAATTAACATAGGCTACAAAGGGGATAGATAGACAGACAGATAGATAGATAGATAGATAGAGGGGGTATATGGGGTAAATAGAGAGATAGAGGGGGTGTACGGGGATGGATAGATGGGGGGTGGATGGGGATAGAGAGATAGAGGAGGTGAATGGGGTAGATAGAGAGATAGAGGGGGTGTACGGGGATGGGTAGATGGGGGTGTATGTGGATAGACAGAGGAGGTGAATGGGGTAGACAGAGAGATAGAGGGGGTGTACGGGGATGTAGATGGGGGGTATATGTGGATAGACAGATAGAGGGGGTGTATGGGGATGGATAGAGAGATAGAGGGGGTGTATGTGGATAGACAGATAGGGGGGTGTATGGGGTAGATAGAGAGATAGAGGGGGTGTACGGGGATGGATAGAGAGATAGAGGGGGTGTATGTGGATAGACCGATAGGGGGGTGTATGGGGATGGATAGAGAGATAGAGGGGGTGTATGGGGATAGACAGATAGGGGGGTGTATGGGGTAGATAGAGAGATAGAGGGGGTGTATGGGGATGGATAGATGGGGGGTGTATGTGGATAGAGAGATAGAGGGGGTGTATGGGGATGGATAGATGGGGGTGTATGTGGATAGACAGATAGGGGGGTGTATGGGGTAGATAGAGAGATAGAGGGGGTGTATGTGGATAGACAGATAGGGGGGTGTATGGGGTAGATAGAGAGATAGAGGGGGGTGTATGGAGATGGATAGATGGGGGGTGTATGGGGATGGATAGATGGGGGGTGTATGGGGATAGAGAGATAGAGGGGGTGTATGGGGTAGATAGAGAGATAGAGGGGGTGTACAGGGATGGATAGATGGGAGGTGTATGTGGATAGACAGATAGGGGGGTGTATGGGGATGGATAGAGAGATAGAGGGGGTGTATGGGGATGGATAGAGAGATAGAGGGGGTGTACGGGGATGGATAGATGGGGGTGTATGTGGATAGACAGATAGGGGGGTGTATGGGGTAGATAGAGAGATAGAGGGGGTGTACAGGGATGGATAGATGGGAGGTGTATGGGGATGGATAGAGAGATAGAGGGGGTGTATGGGGATGGATAGAGAGATAGAGGGGGTGTACGGGGATGGATAGATGGGGGTGTATGTGGATAGACAGATAGGGGGGTGTATGGGGTAGATAGAGAGATAGAGGGGGTGTATGGGGATGGATAGAGAGATAGAGGGGGTGTACGGGGATGGATAGATGGGGGGTGTATGTGGATAGACAGATAGGGGGGTGTATGGGGTAGATAGAGAGATAGATAGAGGGGGTGTATGGAGATGGATAGATGGGGGGTGTATGGGGATAGAGAGATAGAGGGGGTGTATGGGGATGGATAGAGAGATAGAGGGGGTGTACGGGGATGGGTAGATGGGGGGTGTGTGGGGATAGACAGATAGTGTTAGTGCTGCGCTGGGTGGTGTGGGGCAGTGTGTTGTGCAATGGGTGTGTTAGATGGACCGTTGAGTTGACCCAGTGGCCGTTCTTATGTTCTTGTTAACAGGGGATTTACAAGTGACTTTAACTTTCTATAGCTCAGTTTATTTCAGCCTTTCAAATACAGGGCCATGGATCTTAGTGCTGCTCTGGGCAGTGTGGGGCCGGGCTGGGCAGACTGAGCTGGGGCAGGGATGGGTTTGGTGGGTGGTGTGGGGCCGGGCTGGGCAGACTGAGCTGAGGCAGGGCTGGGTTTGGGTGGGCGGTGCGGCGCAGGGCTGGGCAGACTGAGCTGGGTCAGCGCCGGGCTGGGCTGGGTGGTGTGGGGCTGGGCTGGGCAGACTGAGCTGGGGCAGGGCTGGGTTTGGGTGGGCGGTGCGGGGCTGGGTTGGGCAGACTGAGCTGGGTCAGCGCCAGGCTGGGCTGGGTGGTGTGGGGCCGGGCTGGGCAGACTGAGCTGGGGAAGGGCTGGGTTTGGGTGGGTGGTGTGGGGCCTGGCTGGGCAGACTGAGCTGAGATAGGGCTGGGTTTGGGTGGGTGGTGTGGGGCCTGGCTGAGCAGACTGAGCTGGGTCAGCGCCAGGGTGGGATGGGTGGTGTGGGGCCTGGCTGGGCAGACTGAGCTGGGGCAGGGATGGGTTTGGGTGGGTGGTGTGGGGGTAGGGCTGGGCAGACTGAGCTGGGGCAGGGCTAGGTTTGGGTGGATGGTGGGGGGTAGGGCTGGGCACACTGAGCTGGGGCAGCGTCAGGGTGGGCTGGGTGGTGTGGGGCCGGGCTGGGCAGACTGAGCTGGGGCAGGGCTGGGTTTGGGTGGGTGGTGTGGGGCCTGGCTGGGCAGACTGAGCTGGGGCAGGGATGGGTTTGGGTGGGTGGTGTGGGAGTAGGGCTGGGCACACTGAGCTGGGGCAGCGCCGGGGTGGGCAGACTGAGCTGGGGAAGCATCCGGGTAGGCTGGGCAGTGTCGGGTAAGGCTGAGCAGACTGAGCTGGGGCTGGGCTGTACGGTGTGGGGAGCAGGAGGCAATTGGCAGCACAGTTCAGAGGCCCTGCACTGCAGGCAGAGGAGGGGAGTCTCCATTGGCTGGAGCAGCAGGGCCCTGTTCTCTGTCTCCCACCCTGTGGAGCTGGCAGGGCCCAGCGAGTGGCTCGCTGCGCCGGTGCCGGCCTGGTGTCTATGCACATCTCTGGGGAAACCCACCATCCGGACCCAGCCCCTGGAGCTGCAGCTGGAAGGGCAATCAGGGTGGGGGGGTTCTGCATGGGGAACATTACCCGCCTTCCAGCTCTGCGGCTTTGTCCCCACAGCCAGGCTGTGACGCATGCTGCCATGGGGGTGAGCAGCCCCAGGGATGGGCTCCATCCTGAATGGCATGGAGCCCTGGGGGCGCAGCACCCCGTCCCGAAGAACCGGCGGCCCCACCCCAAAACATTGGAGACACGCACAGGTACCAGTGTCACTGTGCGGCGTGCTGTGGCCAGGGCCTGCCCTCGGGGTCTATGGGAGAGGGTGTCTGTGCTGGCCCCGATGCCCAAGGTAGCGCTAGGGGTTCTGTGCTGCTGGGAGCGGGGGGCTCCGTAGGGGGCGCTGTCCCCAGCTGTCTGTGCTGGCCCCGATGCCCAGGGGGTGCCAGTTGGGCCGTGGTGTAGGACAGTGGTCATCGGGGGAGGTGTTGAAGGGGGCCTGTTGGTTGTGACAGTCAGTGGGGCAGGGTATGAACCCTGGCGTCCTGGCAAAATGCCAGGGAGGGTCAGTGCGTTCTGCCCCTGCCAGGCGGTGCAGGACACAGTGGGCCGGGCTGGAAGGTGTCGTGGGATGGAGCCCGTTGGGCACTGGGGCGGGGCAGGGCTGGAAAGACCCAGCCGTCCCCAGAGCGCTCTGGAAACCTGCGTCCATGTGTCTGTCCCCTTCCTTACATAGACGCCATCCGGCACCGAGCTCCTGCTGCCACCCCCACCCTCGGGACCCACGCTGGGGCCCAGACTGACCCCAACGTGCCTCGTCCCCCACGCCGGCCTGGGGATAGCACTCTGACGACTGTGGCCTCCGCAGCCCACCCTTCCAGCCAGCCCCAGAGCGCCTGGACCAGCCCAGCCACCCCCACTCCCGGCCAGCCCCACAGCGCCTGGACCCGCCCAGCCACCCCCACTCCCACTCCCGGCCAGCCCCACAGCGCCTGGACCCGCCCAGCCACCCCCACTCCCACTCCCGGCCAGCCCCACAGCGCCTGGACCCGCCCAGCCACCCCCACTCCCACTCCCGGCCAGCCCCACAGCGCCTGGACCCGCCCAGCCACCCCCACTCCCACTCCCGGCCAGCCCCACAGCGCGTGGACCCGCCCAGCCACCCCCACTCCCGGCCAGCCCCACAGCGCCTGGACCAGCCCAGCCACCCCCACTCCTGGCCAGCCCCACAGCGCGTGGACCCGCCCAGCCACCCCCACCCCCACTCCCGGCCAGCCCCACAGCGCCTGGACCCGCCCAGCCACCCCCACCCGCACTCCCGGCCAGCCCCACAGCGCCTGGACCCGCCCAGCCACCCCCACCCGCACTCCCGGCCAGCCCCACAGCGCCTGGACCCGCCCAGCCACCCCCACCCGCACTCCCGGCCAGCCCCACAGCGCCTGGACCCGCCCAGCCACCCCCACCCGCACTCCCGGCCAGCCCCACAGCGCCTGGACCCGCCCAGCCACCCCCACTCCCACTCCCGGCCAGCCCCACAGCGCCTGGACCCGCCCAGCCACCCCCACCCCCACTCCCGGCCAGCCCCACAGCGCCTGGACCCGCCCAGCCACCCCCACTCCCGGCCAGCCCCACAGCGCCTTGACCCGCCCAGCCACCCCCACCCGCACTCCCGGCCAGCCCCACAGCGCCTGGACCCGCCCAGCCACCCCCACTCCCGGTCAGCCCCACAGCGCCTGGACCCGCCCAGCCACCCCCACCCGCACTCCCGGCCAGCCCCACAGCGCCTGGACCCGCCCAGCCACCCGCACTCCCGGCCAGCCCCACAGCGCCTGGACCCGCCCAGCCACCCCCACCCGCACTCCCGGCCAGCCCCACAGCGCCTGGACCCGCCCAGCCACCCCCACCCGCACTCCCGGCCAGCCCTACAGCGCCTGGACCCGCCCAGCCACCCCCACCCGCACTCCCGGTCAGCCCCACAGCGCCTGGACCCGCCCAGCCACCCCCACCCGCACTCCCGGCCAGCCCCACAGCGCCTGGACCCGCCCAGCCACCCCCACCCGCACTCCCGGCCAGCCCCACAGCGCCTGGACCCGCCCAGCCACCCCCACCCGCACTCCCGGCCAGCCCCACAGCGCCTGGACCCGCCCAGCCACCCCCACTCCCACTCCCGGCCAGCCCCACAGCGCCTGGACCCGCCCAGCCACCCCGACTCCCGGCCAGCCCCACAGCGCCTGGACCCGCCCAGCCACCCCCACCCCCACACCCGGCCAGCCCCAGAGTGCCTGGACCAGCCCAGCCTACCCTAACCCCACCCCTCCTCCCAGCCAGCCTCACAGCACCTGGACCGGCCCAGCCTCCTCTACCCCCACCTCCACAACCACCCACCCTCCTGGCCAGCCCCACAGCACCCAGATGTACCTGGCCTCCCCTACCCCCATCCCCAAAACCATGCACCCTCCCAGCCAGCCCCACAGCACCTGGATCAGCCTAGCCTCCCCCATCCCCACAACCACCCCCCTTTCCAGCCACCTCCACAGCACCCAGATGGGCCTGGCCTCCCCTACTACCACCCGTATCCTCACAATGACCCACAGAGCCCAAACAGAACCAAGCATCCCCATCCCGGCAACCACCCAGTCTCTGAACATGGCCCACAGCACCTGGCCAGGCCTGGCCCCCACCTCCCCCTCCGACACAACCACCCAGCTTCCTAGCCAGACCCTCAGCGCCTGGATGGGCCCAGCTCCCTCCGACCCTACAACCACTCAGCTTCCTAGCCAGACCCACAGCACCTGGATGAGCCCAGCTCCCTCCGACCCCACAACCACCCAGCCTCAGGATGAGACCCACAGCTCCCGGATGAGACCAGCTCCCTCGGACCCCACAACCACCCAGTCTCGGGACGAGACCCACAGCGCCCGGATGGGCCCAGCTCCCTCCAACCCCACAACCACCCAGCCTCGGGACGAGACCCACAGTGCCCAGATGGGCCCGGCTCCCTCCGACCCCACAACCACTCAGCTTCCTAGCCAGACCCACAGCACCTGGATGGGCCCGGCTCCCTCCGACCCCACAACCACCCAGCCTCGGGACGAGACCCACAGCGCCCGGATGGGCCCAGCTCCCTCCGACCCCACAACCACCCAGCCTCAGGACGAGACCCACAGCGCCCGGATGGGCCCAGCTCCCTCCGACCCCACAACCACCCAGCCTCAGGACGAGACCCACAGTGCCTGGATGGGTCCAGCTCTCTCCGACCCCACAACCTCTCAGCTTCCTAGCGAGACCCACAGCAGCTGGATGGGCCCGGCTCCCTCCGACCCCACAACCACCCAGCCTTGGGACGAAACCCACAGTGCCCAGATGGGCCCGGCTCCCTCCAACCCCACAACCACCCAGCCTCAGGATGAGACCCACATCGCCCGGATGGGCCCAGCTCCCTCCAACCCCACAACCACCCAGCTTCCTAGCCAGACCCACAGCACCTGGATGGGCCCGGCTCCCTCCAACCCCACAACCACCCAGCCTCGGGACAAGACCCACAGCGCCCAGATGGGCCCGGCTCCCTCCGACCCCACAACCACCCAGCCTCGGGACGAGACCCACAGCTCCCGGATGGGCCTGGCCTTTCCCTCCAAGCCCCAAGGCGAGCCTCCTGGTACTCGGACGCAGTATGCCAGCCCAGCAATTAATGGGACAGGTTGTGCCAAGACACCTGGAGCGCCCTGGCTTCCAGGCACCCCAGCTGCACAGACAGGTAGGGGTCTGGGGGCACTGGTCCCAGGAAGGGGGGGTCCAAAGGCCTGGGCCAGAGGGTGTGTGGACAGCATCTAGACACCAAGGCTGACTGGAAATGTCACCATGTATGTGTGTCAGGGGGATTCTACTAGGTCCTCCTGGGGCGATAGCATCCTCCCTAGACTGGCCAGGCCAGACCCGGCCCTCCAATAACCCATCCTTCTCCGCCATGACACCGACCCAATATCAGGTTTCAGAGTAACAGCCGTGTTAGTCTGTATTCACAAAAAGAAAAGGAGTACTTGTGGCACCTTAGAGACTAACCAATTTATAAAAATATTCCACTCCATACGGCTAAATGCAGTGCCTTGCATAATGACAGGTTTCAGAGTAACAGCCGTGTTAGTCTCTAAGGTGCCAAAATTGGTTAGTCTCTGAGGTGCCACAAGTACTCCTTTTCTTTCCACCCAATATCGTCCCAGTTCTGGGATCCCCAGGCCTTTACACAGGGGAAAATACCATTATCCACCTTTGTAGGTGGATAAACTGAGGCATGGACTCTGAAGTGAGACAGTGCCTAAGCTGGGGAGAAAACCCTGAAGTCCTGGCCAGCATGTCCTCTCTCACCCTAACCCACTGTGCCTCATGCCCCTTCCCAGAGCTGGGATAGAACCCAGGACTCCTGGCTCCCAGCCCTTCTGCTCTAACCCACTAGACCCCACTCCCCTCGCAAAGCTGGGATAGAACCCAGGAGTCCTGGCTCCCAGCTCCCCCTCCCCCAGCTCTAACCATTAAATCCCACTCCCCTCCCAGAGCTGCCTTGGCCTGTGCAGTAGCAGACAAGGCTGTTGTCAGTGGGTGAGTGGCTGGTGGCCAGACCACATAGTGGCGTGGGGGGGGGGGGGGGGGGCGTGTCTGTCCAGCATGGAGCTTTACAGGTGGCTTCTTGTGTCCCATCCCACAGATGCTGCCACCACGCCAGGCCAGCCTCAGGGACCTGTCCTGGAGATGCCACACCCTGCCACCCGCGCCCTCCCACCCACGGCCTTCCCCCCAACCATGCCCTCAACCCTGGCCCTCCCATCCCTGGCCACTGCTCTCCACACCACCACCCCTCAGGCCACCACCACCCCTGCTCCACCCCCTGCCCAGGGGGCAGTGACTATGGTGTGGGAGACAAGAGCCCCCTTACCGGCTGCAGGGCGGGGGGCAGTCAGGGGGAAGGGGGATTGCCAGGAGCCAGGCTACAAATCTCCCCAGCTGCAGGAGCTGATCCAGGTGGTGCGGGAGCTGCGGGGGGACTTGCACGCCCTCGTCCATACCCAGCGGCAGGAGCGTCGCCAGCTGGGAGCCATCGCTGGCAGCCTGGCCGAGCTGGTGGGGGCTGTACGGCAGCTGGTAGGGGAGCTGCCCAGCCAGGTGCTTTGGGGGCAGAGCCAGCTCCCCCTCCAGCGTGGGGCAGGCAGGGCCCTGCACCCCACACTGACAGCCTCGCCTGGTACCTACCTACCAAAGAGCCCCACTGAGAGACAGACCCCTCCCCAGCCCGAACTAACCCCCCACTGAGAGACAGACCCCTCCCCAGCCCGAACTAACCCCCCACTGAGAGACAGACCCCTCCCCGGCCTGAACTAACCCCCCGCTGAGAGACAGACCCCCCCCTCCCCAGCCTGAACTAACCCCCCCACTGAGAGACAGACCCCCTCCCGGCCTGAACTAACCTCCCACTGAGAGACAGACCCCCCCTCCCCAGCCTGAACTAACCCCCACTGAGAGACAGACCCCCTCCCTGGCCTGAACTAACCCCCCACTGAGAGACAGACCCCTCCCCAGCCCGAACTAACCCCCCACTGAGAGACAGACCCCTCCCCAGCCCGAACTAACCCCCCACTGAGAGACAGACCCCCTCCCCAGCCTGAACTAACCCCCCACTGAGAGACAGACCCCCTCCCCGGCCTGAACTAACCTCCCACTGAGAGACAGACCCCCCCTCCCCAGCCTGAACTAACCCCCCACTGAGAGACAGACCCCTCCCCAGCCTGAACTAACCCCCCACTGAGAGACAGACCCCCTCCCCGGCCTGAACTAACCCCCCACTGAGAGACAGACCCCCTCCCTGGCCTGAACTAACCCCCCACTGAGAGACAGACCCCTCCCCAGCCTGAACTAACCCCCCACTGAGAGACAGACCCCTCCCCGGCCTGAACTAACCCCCCACTGATAGACAGACCCCCTCCGGTCTGAACTAACCCCCCACTGAGAGACAGACCCCCCTCCCCGGCCTGAACTAACCCCCCACTGAGAGAGAGACCCCCCTCCCTGGCCTGAACTAACCCCCCACTGAGAGACAGACCCCTTCCCCAGCCTGAACTAACCCCCCACTGAGAGACAGACCCCCCTCCCTGGCCTGAACTAACCCCCCACTGAGAGAGAGACCCCCCTCCCTGGCCTGAACTAACCCCCCACTGAGAGACAGACCCCTTCCCCAGCCTGAACTAACCCCCCACTGAGAGACAGACCCCCCTCCCTGGCCTGAACTAACCCCCCACTGAGAGACAGACCCCCTCCCCAGCCTGAACTAACCCCCCCACTGAGAGACAGACCCCCCTCCGGTCTGAACTAACCCCCCACTGAGAGACAGACCCCTTCCCCAGCCCGAACTAACCCCCCACTGATAGACAGACCCCCCTCCCTGGCCTGAACTAACCCCCCACTGAGAGACAGACCCCCTCCGGTCTGAACTAACCCCCCACTGAGAGACAGACCCCTTCCCCAGCCCAAACTAACCCCCCACTGAGAGACAGACTCCCCTCCCTGGCCTGAACTAACCCCCCACTGAGAGACAGACCCCCTCCCCGGCCTGAACTAACCCCCCACTGAGAGACAGACCCCTCCCCAACCCGAACTAACCCCCCACTGAGAGACAGACCCCCCTCCCCGGCCTGAACTAATCCCCCACTGAGAGACAGACCCCCCCTCCCTGGCCTGAACTAACCCCCCACTGAGAGACAGACCCCTTCCCCAGCCCGAACTAACCCCCCACTGAGAGACAGACCCCCCTCCCTGGCCTGAACTAACCCCCCCACTGAGAGACAGACCCCCCTCCCTGGCCTGAACTAACCCCCCCACTGAGAGACAGACCCCCCTCCGGTCTGAACTAACCCCCCCACTGAGAGACAGACCCCTTCCCCAGCCCGAACTAACCCCCCACTGAGAGACAGACCCCCCTCCCTGGCCTGAACTAACCCCCCACTGAGAGACAGACCCCTTCCCCAGCCCGAACTAACCCCCCACTGGGAGACAGACTCCCCTCCCTGGCCTGAACTAACCCCCCACTGAGAGACAGACCCCCTCCCCGGCCCGAACTAACCCCCCACTGAGAGACAGACCCCTCCCCAGCCCGAACTAACCCCCCACTGAGAGACAGACCCCCCTCCCTGGCCTGAACTAACCCCCCACTGAGAGACAGACCCCCCTCCCTGGCCTGAACTAACCCCCCACTGAGAGACAGACCCCTTCCCCGGCCCGAACTAACCCCCCACTGAGAGACAGACCCCCCTCCCGGCCTGAACTAACCTTCCACTGAGAGACAGATCCCCCTCCCTGGCCTGAACTAACCCCGCACTGAGAGACAACCCCCCCCTGTCCTGCACTGCTGCCCCCCTCTGCTGAGAGGCAGATCCCACGGCCTGCACTCCCCCCGCCCCCTCCCTCCGCTGAGAGACAGATCCCACAGCCTGCACTGTCCCCTGCCCCCCTGCTGAGAGACAGACCCCCCCCCCCCGCATTACACACACACTGAGAGACAGACCCTCCGGCCTGCACTGCCCCCTCCACCCTGCATTCCCCCCCCCCCGCCGCTGAAAGACAGATGCTACGGGCTGCACTGCCCCCCCCGTGCTGACAGACAGACCTCCAGGCCCCCAGCCTGCACTGCCCCCTTGCTGAGAGACAGACATCCCCAGCCTGAACTCACCCTCAACCTGCACTGCCTCCCTGGTGAAAGACAGACCCCCACTGCCTGTACTGCCCCCCTTGCTAAGAGACAGACCCCACCCGCCTGCACTGCCCCCCTGCTGAGAGTAGACCCCCCCATCCCCCAGCCTGCATTGCCCCCCATGACAGACAGACCCTGCCACTGAGATGCACTGCCCCATTACTGAAAGACAGACCCCTGTGACATTCCCTTCTGGTATTATCTGGACCAGTTATCTGCTAGGTCACTCCAATCCTCGACTCTGGGAGCCAGCCTTACCCTGCTTTGCTATGAGAACCCACACTCCTGGGCTGTTCACGCAGAGCCTCTGGCATGTAAGCTGCTCCTTGGATTGTGCAACTGAACAAAACTAGACAATAGCGCCGATCCCAGACACAACCCTAGGAACTTCGATCTTGCAGTGTCCAGTTATGCCCTCTGGACGCTGCAAGCTTATATGAGTTTGTCAGTTTAACAAAGAAATTGATATGTACCAGGCCTGTTATCCCAAGTGGAGTCTCTGACACACTTCAAACCAAACACACTGCTTCAGGTAGAATAAACATACAAATTTATTAACTAAAAAGATAGATTTTTAACTGATTATAAGTCAAAGCATAACAAGTCGGTTTGGTCAAATGAAATAAAAGCAAAACACATTCTAAGCTGATCTTAACACTTTCAATGCCCTTACAAACTTAGATGTGTCTCACCACAGCCTAGCTGGTTGCCCTTCAGCCAGGCTCTCCCCTTTGATCAGCGCTTCAGCTGCTTGGTGGTGGTGTCTGTAGATGTAGGTGGAAGAGAGAGATCATGGCAAATGTCTCTCCCTTTTAGCATGTCCTTTCTTCCCTCTTGGCTTTGCCCTCCCCCCCACTTCAGATTCAGGTGAGCATTACCTCATCACACTCCCAAACTGACCAAAGGAAGAGAGAGTCCAACAGAGCCTTTGTTGCTCTCTAGGCCAGTGTCCTTTGTTCCTGTGAGGCTGGGCTGAGTTTGTCCCATACATGCCTTGATGAGATGTGAACTGCGCCTCTGCTCTTAGAGAGTTTTTGCCTGGGACACATTTTCAGCCTCATAACTATATACATGAAATTATAACCTATAACATTACTATAAAATTACTGTAACGACAATTACTATAATATCATTATAACAACAATGCTCAGTACATCATGAGCCTTCCGAAGATACCCGACACGACAAACTTTGCATTGGATACCACACAATCATTTTACAAGAATGAGCATGGGGGTGCTGGGTGCTCCCTCGAGGTACAGAGCATCACACCTCCCCTCTTAGTTTACTGCAAGAGGGTTAGTCCCTGACTAGCTCAAAGGCAGTTTGTGTTATAGTTCTCTTGGCATCCAGCCATTAAGGCCTTGAGGCACCATGCCTCAGTTTCCCCATTCACACACAGCAAACCAGGTTTTTTATGGTTTCTCTGCTGTGATAAGCTTTAAACCTGTTTACAGGTATTAACTGGAAAGTAGCATTATCATAAGGTTTAACATCCTTGTCAAAATTCTTATCCCCAAAACTTAACATTAATACCAAAATTTTTATCACAGATGTGTTTTTACAAGTGTCTTTATGATACCACACCCTCTGTTCAAAAACAGACTCCAACGAGAGACTGCTGAATTGGAATTAATTTGCAAACTGGATACAGTTAATTTAGGCTTGAATAGAGACTGGGAATGGATGGGTCATTACACAAAGTAAAACTATTTCCCCATGTTTATTTCCCCCCCCCCTCCACTGTTCCTCAGACGTTCTTGTTAACTGCTGGAAATGGCCCACCTTGATTATCACTACAAAAAGTCCCTCCCCCCCGCCCTCCGCCCTGCTCTCCTGCTGGTAATAGCTCATCTTAAGTGATTGCTCTCCTTACAGGTTTTTTGTTTGTTTTTTTTCCCCTTCACGTTCTGTGTGTATATAAATCTCCTCACTGTATTTTCCAGGAAATGCATCCGATGAAGTGAGCTGTAGCTCATGACAGCTTATGCTCAAATAAATTGGTTAGCCTCTAAGATGCCACCAGTACTCCTCTTCTTTCTGCTTTTACAGGAGATTTGGGATGAGGGTTAAAGGAATGGTTTTGGGTAAGAGAATGTTTAGGCTCCCAGCCCCCTTCTCTCTTCCCAGGGGCAAAATGGGATCCTCCCTTCTCACCAGTTTTAAACCGCACTTTCTGTGGCCTGCCCTCAATAGACGCCTGAGTCTGTTTGAAGGCATCAGCCAAAAAAGCCATCCCATCCACAGACTTTACATCCTTGTCCCACAGGCGCTGCTTCACTTCAGGCTGACACATGCCTAGGAAACGCTCTTGAGCAACAAGATCCAACATCCCCTCAAAACTCGCCCCCTCTTTGCCCCTCACCCATTTTCCCCACAAATCTTTCATTTTGTTCACATCTTCCCCATTACTCATCCCAATATCCCTCTTGAGATTCTGAAATTTCACTCTATCTGATTCAGGGGTAATCTGAAACCTTTGCAAAACAGTATCTTTAAATTTACAATAGTCTAAAGCATCTTCACTCGGCATTCCATTGACGACGTTTCCAGCGTTACCAGTTACTTTCGCAATCAGGGCAGGAACTCTCTTGTCATCAGGGATTTCCTGTATTACACACAGCCTCTGGAAGGCAGTCAGAGCTTCAGCAATATCATCGTCCTCACTCTATGCGGGGCATAAGTGTTCCCATTTGTGGATTTTAGGAGTGATGGGGGTCCTTGGGGTCAGGGGGTTCTCATTCTGCTTCTCTAGCATGCCCAGTTGGTGTTTTCGCTCTCTCTCTCTTTTTCTCTCTCTTTCGTCTCTCTCTCTTTTTCTTCCATAGCCCTTCGGTGGGCCGCCTCCTCTTCTTTGAGCCTCATTTCAGCATCATTTCATGAGCCTTCCGAAGACACCTGATGTGACAAACTTGTAAAATGCTCGTGTGGTATCTAATGCAAGGCTGAACATGGGGGTGCTGGGTGTTCCCCCAAGGTACACAGCGTCACAACCCCCCAGCCTGCACTGCCCCCATTCTGAGAGACAGACCCCCCCCCAGCCTACACTGCCCTGCCCGCTGACAGACCTCCCCACTGAGAGGCAGACCCCCCCACCTGCACTGCCCCCTGCTGAGAGACAGACCCCCCCCAGCCTGCACTCCCCCCCACTGTTGAGAGAGAGCCCCCTCCTAGCCTGCACTGCTACTCCCCCCCTCGCTGAGAGACAGACATCCCCTATCCTGAACTCACCCCAGCCCACACTGCCCCCCGGTGAAAGACAGACCCCTGCTGCCTGTACTGCCCCCTGCTGAGAGACAGACCCCCCCAACCTGCACTGCCGTCCCCCTGCTGAAAGATAGATCCCTTGGGCCCCTGGCCTGCACTGCCCCTTGGTGAGAGACAGACTTCCCCCAGGCTGAACTCACCTCCAGCCTGCACTGTCCCCTGCTGAGAGACTGACCTCTGCTGCCTGCACTGCCCCCCAACCTCCAGTGCAGAGCTCTGTGGGATCCATCCTGAGATCACGCCCGTCTGCCCCCCTCGTTGGCACCGAGCTCCGGGCTGCAGGCGTCAGTCTGAGCCCGGCCCCCAGTAAAGAGGAAGGAGCTGGATCTGCGGCATCTGCTTGTCTGTCTGTTCTGGGGAGCCCTGTTTGCAGAGGGCAGTGGCCTGTAACCCCTGGTAGCCCCAGCACAGGGTGCTCTGCAATGCAGGGCCCCCGGGGTCCGTGCTCTGGGTAGCTGGCTGGCCCCCTCGGCCTGGCTGCCCAGTTTGCCCATCTTCCCATTGTGGATCCACAGGGTCTGGTTTAGGTCACCAGTCTCCTGCAAGTGACCCCTTTAATATGCTGGGCCCTGAGGCCCCCCGCCCGTCCCCAGGGGCAGGGCCATGCCCTCGGTACCAGCAACCCCGTCTCTCCCTGTGGCTCCCTGCAGTGAGCCCAGGCCAACCTGCAGGAGGCTTGTACTGGGCCCCTCCAGGGCACCTGGCCAAGGGAGCCTTCCTAGCCACACTAGCAGCCTTTGCACAGAGAGCAGGACTAATTAGTCACCTGGCTGCCGCATCCCGCAGCCTGGGGACTAGCACGGAGAGGCAGGGGCTAAGCCATTGGCCAGGCTTGAGCTCTCGGTGTCCTTTTCAGTCCCAGGTGAGCCCTGAGCCTCTCCCCAAAGGCAGCTCTTAGCCGCTGCCTGCCACACTCATCCCCTTGGCGTCGGGCAGGGCCGTGCTGAGTTCACAGCAGGCCAGGGAGACACGAGTGTCCCGTGATCAGCACTGGGGCTTCCCTTGGCTCTCTGGACCCTCTGCTGAGTTGGGTTGGTTTCAGTTCTTTAGTGACCCAGTCACGCCACCCGCCAGCAAGGGGCCTCGCTTCTGCTTGGCTCCAAGAGCAGCGGTAACCCCTGTGCCCCCGCTGGGTAGTGATACAAACCACAGAGGGACCCTGAGGCACACACAGGAGTCATAAAAATTATACAGAAAATTCCCACTTCGTCACCCCCCTTCCCCCGGGGCCGGGTGAGGCTTTGAGTGATGGGGTGCAATATGAAGGGTGAACCGCTGACCTGGCTCCTCCCACCCCATGCCCTGGGTTCTGCGCTCCACCCCCCTGGACTCTGTACCCCATCCCCTGGTCTCTGCACCCCACCCCCTGGGCTCTGTGCCCCATCCCCTGGGCACTGCACCCGACCCCATCCCCTGGCCTCCGCGCTCCACCCCGTCTCCTGGGCTCTGCACCACACCCCCATTAACCCCTGCGCTTTTGCCTCCCATCCCATGAGTTCTGCACACACACACACCAACCCCTGGGCACTGCACCCTCTCCCCCCCACCCCAACCCCTGGGCTCTGGCCAAGGACAAGGACATGCAGAAGCCCCAGCGGGATGCTGTCCCCAGGGCTAAATGAGCAGGAGCCCCGCCCTGCAGCTGGGTGGGGCAGCACCTGTCATGTGGGGGTGGGGAGCTCCCTGCCCCTGCGGCCCTTCCCAGGGAAGAGCTCCCCTGCTGGGTGGGAGATGCCTAGGTTCCGTATGGCCTGGTTTGGACGCAGCTGGGGCTCCAAGGGCCGAGCAGGGGGTGACACTGCACCACCTGGCAGACACCCTAACGGCCTGACCATGCCAGCAACCCGGGCAGCAGGGGGCTCCAGCATCTCTGCCCTGGACTGGCCAGCGCTACGCCGGGGAGATCGGTTCATGGCACGTCCTCCGTGACAGAGCTTGGGAAGCAGCCGGCGACCCCAGCAGGTCACCATCTGCTCAAAAGCTCGTTACTCCTGGGCATTAACACCAGCTTCCCTGAGCGCAAAGGCCCCGGGAACTGCCAGCAGGAGAGGGCTGGAGAGCTAGGCAGGGCACCTGGGAGCTGCACAAGGAGAGAGCCACACACCAGAAGAGGCAGCCCGGGCTGGCCCAGCCAGACACTCACAGACCCAAGGCAGCCGGGGAAGGCCAGGAGAAAGACACAACACGGCAGGCAGGGATAGGACCCATGATGAGGGAGCGGGGTGTCAGCAGGAACCCGACTCACCTCCCACGTGGGGGCTGGTGGAGGTGGTGCTGTTGGTGGGTCCCTCCCCGGGCCTAGTCTGTCAGGACGTCTCTCTCAAGCTCAGGACAACGACGGGCCAAGTGTGTCCCAGTGGGTCTCGGAGTCCCAGGTGCTGGGGGACAGCCAGGCTGGGGGAGCGACCTCCTTCTGAGCAACCCATCTCCCAGCTGGATCTCTCCCCCAAAGTTGCCTTCTAAGGTGCCTGCAAGCGGGTGGTGGGTGGAAGTGCCCAGCCCCTCGGTTCTCTGCTCACTGACTAGGCCCAGGTGCTGCTCCAGCCCCAGTCAGCCTGCTGCTGGTCTGGGATCCCGTCCCTGCCCACATAGAGTGGGTACCTACCTTCTCCCTGGTTCTAGCCCATTCTCTTCCTCTCTCTCTGCACTGAGTTGAGGGTGGGAGTGCACTGAGCACAGGGCTGGGGGTGAAGGATCAGGGTGGGGGTTGGGGTGTAGGATCTGGCCAGGAGCTAAAATGAGGGAGGGGGCTCAGGGTTGGGGCAGGAGGTTTGGGTGTGGAGTGCTTACAAGGGCAGCTCCTATTTGGTGTGAGGGGTGCAGGTGGGAATGTGGGGGGGGGGGGTGCAGGAGCTCCCGTTTGGTGCTCAGGGTGAGGGTGGGAATGTGGGGGGTGCAGGAGTCAGGGCATGAGGTGTGGGGGGCCTGGGTATGTGTGTGGGGTGCTGGAGTCAGAGTTGGGGTCATGGGAGAGGTGCAGGGGTCAGGGCAGGAGGCTGGGGTGTGTGAGGGGGGTGCAGGGATCAGAGCTGGGGGCTGGGGGTGTGTGAGGGGGGGTGCAGGGATCAGGGCCGGGGGCTGGGGGTGTGTGAGGGAGGTGCAGGGGTCAGGGCTGGGGGCTGGGGGTGTGGGCTTGGGTCCTGGAGGTGCTCCCAGCCTCCTTCCCAGAGCGGCTCACGGCAGGGGACTGGAGGGGATATGCCCTGATTCCACCTTCCTTCCCCAAGGCCCCATCTCCACCTCTTCTTCGCCTCCTCCCCGAGCAGTGAGCGCGCTCTGCCTCCACTTCTCCCCCTCCCCCTGGGTTCGGCAGCGGACTGAGCGGGGCCGGTGGCTGGGACCCAGCAGGCAGCAGCGTGCCATTAAAAACTGGCTCGCGTGCCGTCTTTGGCATGAGTGCCATAGGTTGCCGACCCCTGGTCTAGATGATCCAGGACTGTGGACCCACTTGAGCAGTAGCCCGAGGGACTTCCTTGTACTGCATGGGCCACAGCAAGTGAAATACTTCATGTTCCCCAAAGACAATGAAAATAGAAGTTTCCATCCAACACATTACTGGCGTGAAATCCCCAATTTCACAAAGTGACAAAGTGGAGAGGCCATGCCTTTTGTACTCAAAAACCCAGAATGCTGCATACTGTTTTTGTTGCAAACTCTTCCAGTCTAATGTTCCAGCCACCTTGGGTTCTACAGGAACAAAGGACTGGAAAAATCTGGCTAGAAATCTGGCATGCCATGAGAAGGCAGCAAATCACCAGAGAACATTCATTCCATAGGTGGAAAGAGCTTGAGATGAGACTAAGGTTAAAGGCCACCATAGATGATCAGCATCAAGAGAACATTGCATCAGAGTCTCTTTACTGACAAAATGTTCTGAAAAGGCTTATTGACATTGTGAGAATGCTTGCTACCCAAAACCAAGCACTGCATGGCACTTCAGATCCGCTGTATGTGCCAGACAATGGAAACTTCCTTAACACTGTATTGTTTCTTGACTTTAGCAAAGCTTTTGACACGGTCTCCCACAGTATTCTTGTCAGCAAGTTAAGGAAGTATGGGCTGGATGAATGCACTACAAGGTGGGTAGAAAGCTGGCTAGATTGTCGGGCTCAACGGGTAGTGATCAAAGGCTCCATATCTAGTTGGCAGCCGGTATCAAGTGGAGTACCCCAAGGGTCGGTCCTGGGGCCGGTTTTGTTCAATATCTTCATAAATGATCTGGAGGATGGTGTGGATTGCACTCTCAGCAAATTTGCGGATGATACTAAACTGGGAGGAGTGGTAGATACGCTGGAGGGGAGGGATAGGATACAGAAAGACCTAGACAAATTGGAGGATTGGGCCAAAGGAAATCTGATGAGGTTCAATAAGGATAAGTGCAGGGTCCTGCACTTAGGACGGAAGAACCCAATGCACAGCTACAGACTAGGGACCGAATGGCTAGGCAGCAGTTCTGCGGAAAAGGACCTAGGGGTGACAGTGGACGAGAAGCTGGATATGAGTCAGCAGTGTGCCCTTGTTGCCAAGAAGGCCAATGGCATTTTGGGATGTATAAGTAGGGGCATAGC